AAGTCTAAGGTGTGTCTCTTGTAGGCAGCATATAGATGGATCGTGTTTTTTTATCCAATCTGCCACTCTCTGTCTCTTTATTGGTACATTTAGTCCATTTACATTCAGCCTAATTATTGATAGGTATGAGTTTAGTGCTGTCATTTTGATGTCTTTTTATCTTTTTCATTGTTGTTGATTTTGTGTTTGCTGAGTCTTTATATTTTTTTAGTTTTTTATTTTGACTTGTAGGATTGTTAGTTTCATTTGTGGTTACCTTAATATTTAACCCTGTTTTTCTAAATTTATACCAGTCTTTTATTTCTTTGTATTGCCTTGACTTCCTCTCCATGTGAAAATCTGTGTCTACATTTTTTAAGTCCCTCTTTTTTGTTTTAATGTTGTCATCTTTTACATATTGACATCTGTTACCCTATTTTAAGTGTTTTAGCTTTGATTTACTTTTGTGACTTCTTTATCTGGGTTGATACCTGGTTGCTCTGTCCTGTGTTGTAGTCTTGGGTTGTTATCTGATGTTACTGATTTTCTAACCGGAGGACTCCTTTTAGTATTTCTTGTAATTTTGGTTTGGTTTTTGCAAATTCCCTAAACTTCTGTTTATCTGGAAATGCCCTAATTTCACCATCATATTTGAGAGACAGTTTTGCTGGCTATATAATTCTTGGCTGGCAGTTTTTTTCCTTCAAGGCTTTATATATGTCATCCCACTGCCTTCTTTCCTGCATGGTTTCTGCTGAGTAGTCCAAGCTTATTCTTACTGACTCTCCTTTGTAGATGACTTTTCGTTTATTCCTAGCTGCTCTTAAAATTCTCTATCTTTGGTTTTGGCAAGTTTGATTATATGTCTTGGTGACTTTCTTTTGGGATCTACTTCATGTGGGGTTCAGTGAGCATCTTGAATAGATATCTTGTAATCTTTCACGATGTCAGGGAAGTTCTCTGCCAACAAATCTTCAACAATTCTTGCTGTATTTTCTGTTATTCCCCGCCCCCGACCCGTTCTGGTACACCAGTCACTTGTAGGTTATTCCTCTTGATAGAGTCCCATATAATTCTTAGGGTTTCTTCATTTTTTTAAATGTTTATCTGATTTTTCCTCAATAAATTGATGTCAAATGCTTTATCTTTAATCTCACTAATTATGACTTCCATTGCCTCAGTTCTGCTCTTATGTCTTTCTAGTGAATTGTCTGATTCTGAAATTTTATTTTTAATCTTCTGGATTTCTGATTGCTATCTCTGTATGGATTCTTGCAGCCTGTTAGATTTGTCATTATGCTCTTCTCTAATCTTTTTAATTTCCTCTATTGCGTGTTCTGCGTTTTGCTTAATTTCCTTCCTAATTTCTTGAAGAGCTCTGTATATTAATCTTTTGTATTCTGCCTCTGGTAATTCCAAGAAATTTTCCTCCTCTGGAAAATCTCTAGATTCTTCATTTTGGGAGCTTGCTGAAGCCATTATGGATTGCCTCTGTGATTTGATATTGACTGTTGTCTCCGAGCCATGAATAAGTTATTATATTTATTTACTTTTTGTTTGCTTACTGTGTCCTAGCTTCTTGTTTTGTTTTGATATGCCCAAATAGGCTGCTCGTATAAGCTAGTTTGATTATTGGCACCTTTGAAGCTCTAATGTCCTGTCACCAGGTGGTTAGATCTGTTACTAGGTATGTGAGCTCAGGAGTCTGCCCACTCCTCCTGTATGGATTCAGCTCAGGTGCCCAGGTTGATAGCCACCAAGTGTGTGGCGTAGGCTCTCACAGTCCTAGACAGGCATGGGTAATTGGTGTAGGCACAGGCATCTGGCTGCAGCCGGGGGACACACTCTGAGCAAGGTGGGGGGCTGATGGTCACCCCTGAGTGTCCAGGAGAAGGTGTGTCCCTGTTCCCTAGAGCACGTAGGTGGGTGGGTTTTGCAGCGGACTATGAGCACCTAATGCTGTTGGCTGTAAGGACTGGGGGGCATCTGTTATTCCTGGGCCCCTATCGCAGGTGGCTAGGTGGTGTGGGTGGAGCCACCAGTCCTCAGGCCCCTGGTGTGGGTAGGTGAAGATCCTGCTTAATGGGCAGAGCAGTGTCAAATGTCAAGAACCTGCCACTTCACAGTGGAAACAGTTGAAGTTAGAGTTCCGGTATATACCCTGTTGTACTGTGGTAATGAGGGCCTACGCTGTTGAGATGGGCCCACACAAGTCTATGCAAAGGGAAAGGCACTCAAAGTTCGTGGATCCCTTATGCCTGTGCCTAGGCAAAGGAGCTGTGCCTACCCTGGGTTCCTGGCTTAGGCGAGCCGGCAGTTTATTTTTTCCTGTTTGTTAATTTGTTCAGTCTCCAAGGCAAGGAGAATGGCTCAAGGCGTGTGATGGATCCTCCTTCTGGCCCAGCAATTGCTGAAGCCGGTCTGGGACCAGTGCAGAGCAGGGAGTGGGGCGGTAAATGGGAGAGAGGTTTTTCCCTAAGGGGCGTGTTTTTGATCCATGCGGTAAGCCATATGCAAGTACTTGTCTTTCACCAGTGAGGGCTGCTTTTCACTGGTTCTGGGTGGCCGTGTAGACTCTCTGGTGCTGGGTCTCTCCCGGTGCAGAAAACGCGCCTCTGGAGGGCCGCCGCTTGCCTGCCTCACTGCTCACCTCAAGAGCTGATCAGGCCTGAGGGGCTCAGGCTCTCGCTGAGTCAGGTCTGGCAACTCCTCGCTGCTTCCGAACCATCTCTCCCTCCCCCTGCCACTCTGTCGGGTTCCTCAACTCTGCCTTTGATGTTCAGGGCTCCCCGACTGCCATATATAATGGAATCGTTTTTTCATGTCTTTGTTGTAGAAGAGTCCACCAGAAGCTGACTACTCCCTCATCTTGGCCCCGCCTCAAAAGAATCCATTGTTAGTCACCAGCTTCTTCTGGTTCTTTGTGCTGCAGGGCTCGCATGAGCAATTACTTTGACTAGTCAGAACTGCTTGTGGGGATCTCAGTCAGAACCAGCTGCCTGAATTGAGCTCTCAACTTTCCTGGCTGGCCTCTTCTATAAGAAAAGACGTATCCAATTGTATCCACTTCTGGCTACAAACCTCTTCCAATTCATACTTAGCAGCTGGAGGGCCTGGTGGAGAACTCTACTGTCAGGGCGAGCACTCACCCGGGTCATCAGGGTCAGGTCACTCATTGTCACACTTGCCTGGTGAAGCAACCCCCAGTTCCCACCTGGGAAGCCCTGTAGGCTTTTAGTTCAACCTAACGTCATTGGGTTTTATTTATTGGTTAAATTCAGCAGAACTGGGCAGTTCTGGCATCTTCTGCACGTAACTGGCTATGACCTACCTTCTTGCCATCCTAGGGCCTCTCCCCACCCCCTGACCTCCCTCCCCCAAAAAAGCAAAATTCCCTGAGTCATAGTTAAAAGGCCTCTAGTTCTTGGAGTCAGTTTGACTAGAACCTGTGGGTTTCTGGGGAACTTCAAGGGTGCTAGAAGAACTGATCTTTTAAGAGACCACGTGCTTTTAAATTATAAACCAGTATGTATACAAATGAGTGTTTGTTGATTTAGAGTAGACATTTATTTGCATTTTAATGGGACAGAGCCCATTTGCTAGGCCTGTTGTGAGAACTTGGCAACAACGAGGGCCTTTCCTGGCAGTCCTTAAATTATACCACACTGGCATCAGTCTACTCTGCCACATAAAAGCCTGGCCCAGGGAAAAACGGACGATGAGAAATATCAGAACTCTTTATACTGCTCTGTGATGCATCACTTGTTCAGAGATAGTAACTGTTTGTCTCTACTGACTCCCGTTGCCCCTGCTCACACAGGCACTGCTAGGAGAAAGCGGTGGCCAGAACTGGAACACTGGAACAACGGATAAATATGGGCGCCTCGATCGAGAGCTGCAGTTAGCCAATTCCCACTTCATTGAGGAGCAGCAGGCACAGCAGCAGGTACCCTCAGAGCCGGCTGAGGACAGGGAAGGGGGAGGCAGGATGGATACCTCTCTTAGTTCCCTGTCAGCCATGGCATTTTGTTGCTTAATGCCAAGCATGTTGGACCAGAGCTCATCCTGGGGCAGGCTGTGTCTAAATATGTAATGATTGCGTATGTAAAGGGTTTTAAAACCTTTCCAGTACCAACTACCGTTTCAAGAGAACCAAGCTTGATTAGGTCTCTTATGAAGAGCAGACCAGACACCCAAAAATGGCACACAGGCCATTGATTTAAAAAGAAAACCCTCTTCCCCAACCTCCAGTTGCATACTCAGTTTTTTGTTTATTTGTTTCAACAAAGGTACACTCCGAAAAATTGAGTCCTTGTTTTTTCATTGAAAATTGTTGGTATCATTATATATAGAAACAGTTGCAATGGTAGAGGCTAAGGGGTTGGAAAGTGAGGTCGATTATGTCTGTTACTGCTTTTGGTGTGTAGTTATAGTAATAAACGGAAACTAATAATAATCTGGGGATTTAAGGATGAGCTACTCTTTTATACTATTGGTTCTTAAGTACTGTTTTTTTATGTACATATGTAGGTTATGTGTTCTTTTGTTCTTTTTCCATGGGCGTGTTTACTTAGCCAGTTGTCTGCTTCAATTGGTATTAACCAGTCAAACTTAAAAAAGAAAATGTGAGGAGGATGCAGCACAATTAAAAATAAAGGTTTGTGTTTGTCAGTCAGTAGTCATCCTTGAGGTAACTTACTACCCCAGGGCCTCCTCTAGTTTGTCCTGGAGGAAAGAGGAAAGGATTCTGTGTGCATGGCTTTCCTACATCCGGAGACTTGTATTGAAGCCAGGCAGTCTGCTGTGTATTGAGACATTGATCATGGCGATGGCGTCCTCTTCCCAAAAACCCTCATGTCTCAGTGGTCATCTGCACATGTGCTTTTGGCCATTGTCTGCTTTCTAATTGGACTTCTGCCAGCCAGAGTCGGTCTCTCTTGGTGGTTTCAAGCCCTGCTGACTGTTCACAAGTTGGATCAGTGGGAGATATCAGTAGCTTGACAATCCAGCCTTTTGAGCAGTGTGTTCTTGGAGGCAACGGTCTGGTCCTTTGATTTCTGGGCTTTGCTTCTGAATGCGAATTGTCCCAAGTTGGCAAAGAAGCTAGCAGCTGCTAGAGTGCTGGGCTTGGAACCAGGTAAGATGGATTTTAATTGCTTATTTCCCATTTCTCTGGCACCAGTTGATTGTGGAACAGCAGGATGAGCAGTTGGAGCTGGTCTCTGGCAGCATCGGGGTGCTGAAGAACATGTCCCAGCGCATTGGAGGGGAGCTGGAGGAACAGGCCGTGTGAGTGTTGAGAAGCTCCTCCCATGGGAGTGAAATGAGGGGAAAAGCCATTCTGTGAGACCTGGAAAAAAACTGGCAATTACATGGTTAATAAAACCAAAAGTTATTGTACTTTCAAGCCAAAAAACCCAAACCAAACCCATTGCCATCAAGTGGATTCCGACTCATAGCAACCCTATGGGATAGAGTAGAATTGCCCCATAGGGTTTCCAAGGTTGAAATTACTGAAGCAAACTGCCATATCTTTCTCCTAAGGAGCGACTGGTGGGTTCAAATGGCACCTTTATTCTGTTGTACAGAGTAGCTTCCCTAAAAGAAGCAAAACTATCAGATAAAATTACAGCAGGGTTTAGGCAAAGTTATTTTGTTTTTCGGCACATCCAAAAAAACAGATATAAATGTTCCCCTGGGGAGATACTTACTGTACAGTTATGAACGGAAATGTGACGCAGTCTGTAACCTCTGGAGATGTTTGTCCTGAAGAGGGTAGGACATGAGCTCACTTGATCTTCCCATGACTTTCCTGCAGCACTGAACAAAACTTTTTACTCTGCATCTTAAATTTTAACTTTATGAATAAACTTATAAATTTAATTCCAATTAATAAAAATCTTCTCTCTCAAAAATTCATAAAAGCTTGGCACACAAGAAAACATAACCTGGGTTCATTTTATTTTCCTTAGAACAATCTCTTTTGCATGCATGACCCCAACAGCAACATTCTTAAATGCTGCCACACAATTTTACAAATTATTCTCTGAAAAAAAGAACAAGTCAGTTCACTGGGATATATCAGAAGCTTTCCTATCTTAACCTTGTGTTCTGTGGTACACATTCATGCATGTAAATACTGGACATCTGTTCAGCACTAGGCCTCCAGGAAGCCCTGGGGATATAGGAGCAAACAGGATAGACACTGTCTTTACCATTCAGAGAGGTTTTACAGGGTAGAATGGACATTCCATAAATGAATGCAAGTCATTAACTAAGTGACGACAGTGAATTGGAGGACCGCTGTGATGGGGGCGGTATGTGATGCCTTGAGAGCCCTAACTTAGCCCAAGACCCCTGAGAAAGAGAGGGTTAACTGAACTGAAAGGGTGAGTAGAAGATAGCCAGGTAGAGTGAGTGCCGGTGTGGCGGCCAGAACATGGGAGGAGGTGATGAGGGGACAGTGCCAGGAGGGAGAAGAGCACGTGAAGATGTAGAGGTGAGAAGGTGCACAGAACAGAAAAGGTTAGTGTGCCCAGAGCAGGGGGATTGCGAGGGAAAGCTGGCAGAAGTCCTGATAGGGAGGCAGACAGTAGATCGGGGGGCGGGGGGCGGGGGCTCTGAGCCATTTAAGGACTTTGAACTTTTTATTCTAATGGGAAACCAGTGAAGGCTGTATTAGGTGTAATGAACGTTCAGATTTACATCTTTGAAAGACCTGGCTGTCGTAATTTAGATTATGTACTAGAGGAGAGCAAGACTGGAGGCAAGGAGACCAGGTAGGAAGCTATCACAGGAATCTAGGCATGTACGTTTAATTTCTGTCTAAAATGGGTTCTTCACCTCAAACCACAGTGTGGCAATAGGAAGGGATTAATTGCCTGAGCTACTCTGTGGGTAGGGCAGCTTGGTGGGTAGTAGATAACAGAAAGAGCCTTAGAGACTGCCAGTTGAAGATGGTGAATTGAACACACCCCTTTATCTCCATCCCCTCTCTAAAGCTCACCAGAGCAGTAGTAAAGGGATTGTTTTTTTAAAAGGCATAAAACCTATGGGGATATAGAGCATGGAGTAAGAAACCACAGCCATAATATATGGGAATCTGGAAAGCAGAGAAAGCTGACTCCTTAGCCAGCAGCGGGGAAAGCCAAGAGGCAATGTGATTTATACCACAAACCCGCTCGGCTGTGAGTAGCAGCTCTTCAGTCAGAATGGAAACAGTGAATAATTTTCTGAGCAAATTATGACACAGTTACATTGGGAGGAAGGGGAAGGGAGGTAAAGGGATGGAGACAGGAATGAAGTGGGGAGAGAGATAAATCCTGATCTTTCGAAGTGGTGAGTCAGTAGGTGAAGCCTAAAGGTAGAAGGCCAGGATGCTGCAGTACAAGCATGCTACTTTAAAAAATGGAGAAAGCACCAAGAGAATCATCGGAGGAGTGGAAGTGGTGGCCCTAGGGAGCGGGAAGCAACTGGTTTTTTGTAAAAAGCCCTGTAGGACTGTTTATCTCATTGAACTGTGTGTATAACTTTGATAGAAATTAAAAGGAAAACACGTGGGTCTTGAACTTAGACCTGTGCTGTCCAGGACAATAGCCACTAGTAGCCACACATGCCTGTCGAGTATGTGAAATGTGGCTCGTCTGACTTGAGATGTGTTCTGAGTGTAAAATGCACACTGGATTTCAAAGACTTAGTATGAAAAGATAATGTCCAAAAGCTTATTAATAATTTTTTATATTGATTACATGTTGAAATGATAATACTTTGGATATATTAATAGATCATTAAAATTAATTTCACCTGTTTCTTTCTCTTTATTTTTTTTTTTTAATGTGCTAGAAAATGTAAAATGACATATGTGACTGGCACTATAGTCCTACTGTACAGTGCCCAGTTAGATAGATCTGGACTAGAAGCTTGGGTAGTGGGGTCCTGGGGCTGGAGCTTGAATGACTTGCCTGTTTTCTCTTCAGTAAGAAAACTCATACCCAGCATACAAAGGTAGCTCTTGGTTTCTGTTACTGACCCTGTCTGGATAGGTCTGCCAGCTGCAGGGCCAGGATGCTACAAGGATCTAAGAAGAGCTAAACATGTTTTAATTTGAATCTTCAGGTAAGGGACAAAGAACTTGCTTGTTAGTTAGTTGTCGACATGGAGTTTACTTACTCTGTTGACTTAATGGGGAGTAGTTGACTGCCCCAGATCCTGCAGGGATGTCAGATGCCCTGTGTGGGCACACAGCCAAGACCAGTAGTTTTTAGTGGCCATTGATGCTGTCAGAGTTGTTGTGTGCCGTCGAGTTGATTTCAACTCATAGCAACCCCATGTGATAAAGTAGAACAGTCCCATAGGGTTCTCTTGGCTGCAGTCTTTACGGGAGCAGATCACCCAGTCTTTCTCCCACAGATCCACTGGCTGGGTAGTAAAGCCTTTTTATTAAAACCTCTGGCACACTGTGTTCTGTTCTCTGAATAACCATATATTGATCAAAAGTTGGAAAGTCAGGAATGTTTAATAATTTGTGAAATAAACACTGCTAGAATTAGAGTATTATGGTGTGTTTTTCCCAGCTGCACCTTGGACAGCCAACAGTGTGAGCATACTGGGGCCTGTTATCTTAGTGGGAAGACACGCTGGTTTCTCTGTGAGCATAGACGAGGGAGGAGCACAGCCATCGGGGGTTTTAGTCCCAGGTTAAGCTTTATGACAAAGCATGCTGGGCTTTAAAGGAGAATATTATTTGATTAAAGCACATGTCTTCATTTATGTAAAGTGCTTTTGTGGTCCCTGTGAGGACCCTGTGTCGTTCTCTCAAGAACCCCCTGAGGGTTGAGAAGATTGCCCGCATTTTACAGATGAGGAGGCAGTGCCAGAGAGTTGTAGGGTGCCTGTCCAAGGTAGCACGGTAAGCAAGTGGCAAAGCCTGGTTGTCTCACTTCAGAGAACCTTCGTTCTACAACACTGCACTGCCACGAAATTCGTGTTATTGTATAGTCAGGTCCATGGTTTCTTGTCTGTAATTCTAAGTCTAGAAAGCTATGAAAATCCAAAGTTTAAGTTTGCAGCAAGCTCATGTGACAGAAAAAACTGACTGACTGCAGAAATATTAACGTGTTTAATTCTGGGGGCTGCTCCAGGCCTTGCTGGGGTTTTAGATAATACACGGTATATGTAACATAACTTTTTTAAATCCCCCAAATTCTGAAATTAAAAACATATCTGGCCCCAAGGATTTTGAATAAGGGATTGGGAGCCTGAATCCCAGTATCGCCTGTTTAATGTTTGCTAAAACTGAGGTCTAGATCCTGATTGAATCCCATAGCCAGTGCATTGCTGAGGCTTTGTGCTTACCCTGCTGTCTCATATGCTGCTTCTCTCTCTAGTATGCTGGATGATTTCTCCCATGAGTTGGAGAGCACTCAGTCTCGGCTGGACAACGTGATGAAGAAGCTTGCAAAAGTGTCTCACATGACCAGTGGTACGTCCATGTGGTATCTAAAGCCTAAGAAACTTACTTAATTCTAGAAACACTGTCCGTAGGGATTCTGTCCTGTGTGTGCCCATTCAGATCTCTTTCGTGGAGAACATTTTTTGTGATGCTTTAGGATAGGGAGTGGCAGACTAGTATGTACAGACCTTATCTTCTACTTGTAGCCTTAATTGGGAAAAGGTCTTGACAAAGAAGGGTGCCCACCTTCACAAGATTGCTCCCCACACCACACAGGGTGATGGGGGCTGGTGGTTGCTGTTTTCTCCAGTGGAGCAATTCTTTGTGCAATTACAAAATCTTTTTTATTATTTTTTTCTATTTCCTTGCCAAAATTGGGCATTCAGAACAGTAATCAAGAAGCCAGGTATTGTTACTCCTGAATTGACTTTATTTCATTGAAAGAAAAATCTGTACTATCTCAAAATAAGATGGTCTCACAGATCTGATTTAAATTGTTGCATTTAAATTCATCATGAAATATTCCAACAAATTTTCTACATGATGGCAATGAAGCAATCACACTTTTCCAATGAGTTACTCTATAGGAAGATGTATTTCAGTGATTCTTCTACATTTTTGGATTATTAAGACCCACCTTCCCTAACTACTACATGAGAAATAATATATTTAAGTCAAAGAAGATTCAGTATCTCTTTTCTTTATTTGGTGGGTGCAGTGGTGGAAGGAGGAAACGGGATGCTCCTTGAGGTAACCTGAGTGTTCTTCATAGCAGCACCTATCCCACCTGCCAGTTAGAACTTCCCCCGTCTCTTGCCACCTCATTCTCTTGGTTTCCCTGGTCAGGTACATGGTATAGGCTCTGATGGTATAGCCTTTTGAGGCACAATTTAAATACTGTGCACATTTGTTTTTCAGCTGTTTAACTTGTAGACAAGTTATGTGACAATCCCCTGGGGCACAGTTTCTTTGTAAAAGTTGGGTGATGCTACCTCTCAAGGTCATCGTGAGGATTAACCAAAATAATTAATGTAAAAATGTGTAGCCGTGTCTACCATGTAATAGCACTTAGTAAATGTTTGTTTAAAAAATAGTAAAACAGGCAGCAGATGGCTCTAAGGGGCAAAGGGAATGTTATATCCAAAGTAAAGGGCGGTTCAAAGCTGGAGTTATTTCCTTCTCCCTTTCCACGGGCAAATATCTTTATGCTTCTAGCAGGCTCTTCATTGCCTGAAGCTGTGTGTATATGAGAAGCAGACAGTAGCTTATATTAGTTCATCTTTCACACATGTAGAGAGGTTTGCAAAGTCTTCTTTCTGATTCCCTCTGTTCTCTCCTCTTCAACCCTCACCCCTCTGCTTTTTTTTTAAAAAAAACAAAAGTTTTGACGGGGTTTTATATAACCAGTTTAAACACCAGGCCTGTCACTAGTCTGTGTACTAGCCACAAAGTCAAGTCGCTACTTCAGCACCAGTTTTGTTTGGGGACGAGCAAACGAACAAAGATGTACTGTGTCTTTGTTTCCCTGCATACTGGGTATGAATAATTTAGAAAAGTACTTGGATTATGATAAGTGGCTCAGTGTGTGTAAATAGCACAGAGGCTGGCTTATGCTGTATTCTGCTTTCTCTCTGAAGAAAAGTTTGGGGACCAAAGTAAGAACTTCGGTTGTATTTGTATAAGAAAGAGAGCCAGGAAACAGAGCATTTAGCCTGAAAGGCCCTTCACTTTTGGAAACTTGCCTGTGGTTTTCATTTTAATCTTTGCCTGCTACTGAAAGAAGTACTGCTTACAAGCCTCCTGCTTGGTGGTGTCTGCTTCAGTTTGACAACCAGGCAATTTGTGTTTGCCTCTGTTCTTCTCCATAACTTTGGGGAAAGTTCACGGCTTCTTAACCAACCTGCACAGAAAGAAAGTGTGTCAGGATCCACTGACGTTTGATGAAGCAGTAACTGAGCGTGCGTGAGCCACAGTTCTTGAGAGGAGAACGTTTCCCTTCCCTGTGGCTGTCTGCTTCATGGGGAAAGATCTGCTGGGACTCGAAACTTACTTTTTTGTATAACCCAAGAGAGAAAGTAATCTCTGTTCATTCTCCTACCAGAGAAAGCATATTCCTCTGATTAGATACTGAGACTTTTTCCCCTCACTTTCTAAAATTCTGTTGCTCATCTTTTCCCTTTAGGGCAGGAAAATACATTAGGAAGAAAAGAAACTACCATTGGAGTTGCATTTGCTTCCCTCTGTCTTTTTGAGGCAGATCCCCAGCTTACAAGCTGGTTAAAACTTTTCACTTGAGGTGGTAAAAGCTCTTATGGTTAGTACCACTCCACGACATTAAACTTTGCAAGGAATGGGGGAGAAGTTTGCTAGGGTAACAAATCCCTGAGGCTATCTGGTTCATGCTTCTAGAAGCAACTTCCCGCTTCAAAGGAAAATAGCCTTAAAAGAGCATTCCTGGTTTGTGCTGGCTTGTCTGAAGCCTGTTTCTCCTGGATGAAAACCTCTATCTAATGCAGTTGTAAAAGAAAAAATGGGTGGGTGGTTGTGGGGGGGGGTGTAGTGGTGGTAGAGGCTGATGGAAAGCTGGTTTAGTATTGGAAGTGGGGCCCTGAGAATGGAGGGAGTGTGTGTGGGAGGGTCAGTTACCTTATCTGGTTTTGTCCTGGAAGAGCATCAACTAATAATTTTAATGAGAGTGGTTTTAAATTATTATCAACATTTTTAAGTGGATGAAACTAAATGCTGCATACTAAGTTTATTTGGCCATTAAAGTGATGGTTAAACAGATTAGTAGGCCAACTCTGCCTCCCCCTGCCCTTTGGAACAGTGATTCTGAATGGACAGACTTCGGGTCTTTGCCCTGGTCACCCAGTTACTAAACGAGTTTCTCACACGTCTGAGGACGAGCAAGGTGACCACCATTGAGAAGATACTCACTTTACGTATTATGATTTAGGGTCAGTTCTAAGACTTTGAGATCCATGACATTTAAAATAATTTTAAGTACATGTTAATCCAGTTAGCATTGCTTTGTGGAAATTTTTAAGATCTACTTTCCTAGACTCAAACTTTTTTATAATGGAATTCTCAGTAGCTATGTTGTCCCCAAATCTGCAGGGTTTCTTATAAACTTTTGATGAATCGGTATGTGTTTGTATTTCTATTTATATGGGACTCTTATTCCTAGTGGTTGAACTACATTTTCATAGACTGGTGAAATTCCCTTATATCAGTCTGACCCTTTGTGGGAAACACCAGGACTCATCTGTGGAAAGACAGATGTTCTTTCTCCACCTCCCCAAATTAAAAAAGCTCTGACGATGACGGCATCCCCTGAGCCTCAAGCTTGGGCACTGTACAGTATGTGTGACTATGTTCATGTTTAATTCTCAAAACAGCCCCACGAAGCAGCTGCTGTAGAGCTAGAGGACCACAGTTAGAGTTGGTGCCGGAGCTGGGATTCCGCTGGGGGCCTTTCTGGGCCCTTCTGTTCACAGGGCCTCCCTGCTCTCAGCCATGTGGACGGACTCCAACCACTTTGTTCCTGTGCCTCTTCTAAACTGTTGACAGAGCAGGAAGTTTCAGAAAGACCATCCACTTTCATTTATAGATAAGCTGTATGAATTACTTGAACGTGGTGACTGGTTAAGTGCTCTTACTTCTTTCTTGACTAGGTGTGGTGTAAAATCAGTCGTGCTTGCTTTTTCAGCTCTTCATTTCCCAAAGTGACCAGCAGTGCCTTTCATCTTTTTTCCATCCTTCCATAGTTGTCATTCAGAAAAGAACATAATTATTGTTGAATTAAATGATGTGACTCTGGGTAGTAGAGTAAGCGGACAGGCTTTGATCTGTAATACCAGAGCCAACACCTTTTCCAGGGATACGGTAACCACCACCAAAAAGCTAAGATTTTAATTAAAGACTTGAGACACAAAGTGTGTACTTATTACGGGCCAGATGTTTAGGGGACTGGCCAAGCCGTGAACACACGTGAAGTGTAGGCCAGGGACGGCAGCGCTAGAGTACCGGGCACCCGCACAGGTTCAAGATCCTCCTTGTCCCCATCATTCACACGCTCTGTCCCTTTCCTGCTTGAAAGATGTTACCTTAAATTCCGTGTAACTGTGTCTGGGGGGATGCAGGGTCCCTGGGTTCATTCTCCCCCTCTCTGCCGGAGTGCACTCACCGCCCTGTCCTGCCTTGCAGATCGGCGCCAGTGGTGTGCAATAGCCATCCTCTTTGCAGTCCTGCTGGTGGTGCTGGTCCTCTTCTTTGTGCTGTGACGGGGCCCGGTGCGAGTTTCTCCTGCACATGAACCGAGGGCGTCAGGAGACGCGAGCACGTGCGCAGCCGTCCACTCACATTCCTCTCCTGAACACGCCCTGCTGCACCGACGCTTCTCCGTGACCCCACAGTTGAAGGCTCCTCCACTCCAGCGCGGGAAGCGGACACGGAGGACTGCACACTCCTGGCGCTGGCTCCACGACAGAAGCCCCGCGCTGCCTGTCCTGCTCCGAGGACAACTGGCCACTGCTTTGCCTCCCTGGACCTCGTTGTTCCCCGTGGAGGGATCTGAGTGATCCTGAAAAATCAGCAGATCAGCTCACTTTTGCTGTCGCTCACTCCGCCGGACTCTGGCAGCTCTTCCTCTGCTCAGACCCCTCCCGCCGCTCAGACAGCGCCTCAGTCCTGTCCAAGCCTGTCGTGAATGTGGGTTCTGGGTGTCTCCTTTCCCATCGCTGTAGCGTTTCTTCGTCCCTGAGAGCTGATTCTTAACGGGGCAGAAGGCTCAGAGCAGTTTGTGACAGAAAATGCAGTGATTCATTTTTCAGGGATAAGTGCCGGGATGGAATTGCTTTACCAGACACTTTGTTTTTTTTTTTTTTTGGTGGGAGAAGTAACTAATGGAAAATAGTGAAAAGCACTGGGCATTTGGGGGTGCTAACAACTTGTGGCTTTAATAAATGGGAAGAAAGAGCAACATGACCCTGAGTTTGCACGGCTTAGAGAAGGGTCGATGATGCCGCTAGAGGGCAGAGCCAGAGCCTTGCCGATTTCACCTTGGCTACCCTAGGACTTCCTCCCAGAGGTGTATCTGGAACTTTTAGGATGACCCTTAAATATATGGTTGCCAAGCCACTCGGCAGCACACTTGAATGAATTAGGATACTGGATTATCATCACTGACAGTCATTTTTATTCCTGTGGCCTCTACATTGGGGGACGGCAAGGGGGGTGGGAGCGGTTAGTACATTTATTACATTTACTCAGAAACTATCCTGACAGAAGGCTAGTTCTGGACCTGACTTTCCTTTCCCTGTGAGTAATGGTGAGGATGGGTAGGTGAACTTGTCTCTCTTTTTCCCTAAGATGACAACTCAATTTTATCACCTATTCAAATAACTGAGCCAATCCAAATTTAACTGGCAGAGGTTTTAATTGAGTTTAAATCGCTAAAACTACTGAAACACTAACCTTCAAGCTTCTGATTATTTTTTTAAATGCCTCAGATGTGCACATGTGTGTGGGATCTTTTTATAACTCTCCCCCTGAGTAAGCTGGTAGCAGTTGAACCCTGAGCCAGAGCTTGACTGCAGAGGCTGTGAGTCTGCTCCCCGTCTTCCTCTGCACTTGGAAGGAACAGCACCATCCAGATAGGGTTTTCCTCTCACTTCGCCTTTCTTCATCTTTTTGGGTACATTCCTCAGCATGCTTTGTTTTACTTTTTTTTTCTTGTTTTGTTTGTATTTTGTGTGTGTGTTTTCTGTTTTTTGTGATTTCTGATGCTATGCTTGCCTAGCTAACTTCTGGATTGCACTTTTTAATATCTGTAACAATTTTTTAAGAAGGATCTTTTCTCCTGATTAGGATCATGGTAGGTAAGGAAATCTTGTTGATGGAAGCTAAAAGCAAATTTATAAAACTAAAGGCGTGGTTAACATCCATGTTAACACTCCGTTTGATAACTAAAGAAATTATCTAAAAAAGTGATTATTACAGAGGGCTTCAGAGATATCAGAGATATAGGGTACTAGATTATTTATGTTTTATAAAGTGTTAAGACTTATTCAGATTGTCTTCCATAAGCTTAGAACAGGGATGGCCCTTAGATTTGCATTAAAATATAGAAATCTTTTGTTAAAAATAAATGTGGACCTTGTTTCAATACTGTAATCTACACTCCCCACGTTACAGAACTGTACAACTGGCATCTTAAAAAATTATCTGATAGCCCTATTTAAAAGCCACGCTATTGTCCTGCTATTACCAGCTTTACTGTGCCACACAAAAATAGCACAAGTGTCAGTACGGCCTGTTTCAAGCACGCCTGGTCATTAATGAGTAAGATGTTTCCATTAGTTCAGGGACCAAGTTTTGTGACCCTGAAGGCTTAATTATTAAATTCTTGGATATATTTAGAGTTGACATGCTGATCTCACTGATTGAAGTCGTTTGCTAAACTGGCTATCGGAGACCAGACTCAGGTTGAAGCCAAATAGGGAACTATTTGGAGAGAAAGTTTACTTAAGATGCAGGCACTGCATGGTATTCTCTGTGTAGGGTCACTGCTCTCTCTTGCCTCTGAGGAGCTTAATTTATTCATCAGAGTCAGCCTTTCCTCAGGGGAGCCTGTGGCCAAGCTGACTTGACCTGGGTCTGATCCTGTTGTACCTTGACTGGGCAGTCACTACAGAGCCAGTGGGAATTTGAAGGACTCCTGCTCAGACTCCAAACTGTGGCAGTCAGAAAACAGGCCAGAACATATATTTCCTCATTTAATGATCTTAAAGTTACCAGGCTTTGGAGGGACCCCAAGTGGTCCCTTCTGCTTTCTCCTTCGCCGTGTGTCATAGAGTGGGGAGATGAAGTAGGCAGCTGTGACACCCTGACACCGCATACAAGCACATCCTCATAGCAGTTGGGTTTTTTCTTTTTCTACAGCCTTCTGCACCTAGTCCCATATTCCTCATTCTTAAGGAACTGGCAGAATGATGGATAACAGAAAGGGCTTGATGTATGTTTATTGGAAGAACATTTTACTTATCAACTGATTTGGGGGTAGGATGGAGAATGAACCATTGAGAGAGTTTGCCAGAGTGTGAATCCAACTGGAAAACCAAAATACCTTTTGCTTTTAGTCCTTATTTTTGGTCTTGTCTTTGTGTGGGCTGTGAAAAATCAGTGCTATGGCCTGTACTGTGTGGCAGTTGGAAGTTGCAATGTGTATGTGTTACATGGATCTTCCACAATTTCGGAATTCATGCCAGAGTCGAAGGGGGAGAAACTTGGCAACTTGCCCATTCTCTGCGTTTAGCCAGAGTTAAACAGACTGATGGGTCTGGTAGCCAACAACTTGGCAACTTCTATTCATTCTCACCTCGTGAGATTAAGGGCTGTGAAAAGAAATCTAGTCTAAGTCCAACAGAAATCTGTCTCTGTTAAGTATTTTACCTTCTGTAAGGAAAGGTGGTGGAGCCAAGATTTTTTTCCTTTGGTAATTTCCCTGGCTGTAAAGTGAGACCAGAGGGATACCTATTCCAGTTACCTTTTTAGAGAATGTATAGCATTTGAAGATCTAAAAATTGAGTAATAGTGAGTTGTTTTTCAACTCTGTAGACTTTGTATTATTTGGCTTCACCTCGTGCCCCAGGATGAATCTGTAAACAAAATTTGGACTGTCGGGAAGGTTAAAATTCTAAATTATGGAATACACTACCTCTAGTTCTCCCTCTTTGTCTTCCTCTCTCTGGCATTTCTTTCTCTCCCCAGTTTTTTAAGGTGAGTAATAAAGAACGTTCTTTGGCGATCATGAAGAGTGAGGTGGTGAAACAAAGGGTTCCCGGATGCACAGCCCCTCAGTCACTCTGCACCACCCCACACCACTGTCAGGTCCTGAAGACAGTGCCCCATTGAAAGGCCTCGTGAGATAAGAGGAAGCAGGCTTTCTTAATGTCCAGCTGCCCTCACCCAACTCCCAGTCTGAAACATGTGCTTAAAATAAATGAGGTCTTGTAAAGAAGCCCTGGTGGCGCAGTGGTTAAGAGCTTGACTGCTAACCAAAAGATCAGCAGTTCAAATACACCAGCCACTCCTTGGAAACCCTATGGGGCAGTTCTCCTCTGTCCTGTAGGGTCGCAATGAGTTAGACTTGACTCAATGGCAACAGCTTTGGTTTTTTTGTTTTGGTATTCTTGTAAAGAAGCCCTGGTGGCGCAGTGGTTAAGTGCTCATCTGTTAACCAAAAGGTCAGCGGTAAGAACCCACTAACCGCTCTGTGGGAGGAAGATGTGGCAGTCTGCTTCCATAAAGATTACAGCCTTGGAAACCATATGGGGCAGTTCTACTCTGTCCTGTAGGGTTGCTATGAATTGGAATCCACTCAATGGCAACGGGTTATTTTTGTAAGGCCTGTTGTATGTCGACATGGATGCTGTTCTCACCTGTGTTTACTTGATATGTAACTGTGTTCTCTCTGGGGTTGGGCCCAGAAAACCAAGAGAGCTTTGAGTGGCACAAGAATCTTAAACAGCACTGCTGTGAACCAGCATGACTGAAGCCTGGTGCTGGGTACCCGCGGGGCAAGGCTGCAGCTCCAAACGAGCTGACTTCTGTAGTTACCCGCCTTAAACGGTAGACCAGAGAGACTTGTTCAGCCCTCATGTTCTAGAGCTGAAACAGTGGCAGCTCATCCCAGCCTCCATGGGAGTCATTGGACACATTGCATTCTGGACTTGGCCATTGGCAACGCACACACTCTCTGGGACAAGCCTAAGGTGTTTAAAGCTGACCTCAGTGACATCAATTAAGATAGCTGATATGCTCACCCCAGGCAATTCGATATTTTTTGCCTTTTGGGGAAACACTGAAGTTCTGAAAGTTATAGTGGTGCCTTGGACAGGTTGCTGCAATCTACATCTATTTGGGAGCTCTTTGTTACAGTCGTTTTACTAATAGATATTTGGGTCAGGGTGGGGGGGAGGAGAGAAAAAGAACTTGGTTTCCCTCTGACATGAGCTAACATGCTGGTGCTGTTTCCCTTCTGATGTGACCTTTGCCCGGAAGCGCCTTTCGTGTATCTGTGGATAGTAACCGCACTCAGTGAGTCTTCAAGTCGCCTGCCTAAGGTTTAGCATGAACATTTCATGGTCTGGCTTCCAAAGTGCAGCCAGGCCCTTTTTTAAGATTATGAATTATCAAACATGGAAGCTACTTGTTTATTCAGGGGGATGTTAGAAATAACACCCCTACCTTCGTTGTTGACTGACCAAAGCTGTCTGGTCCTGTCCCTGGCCTTGGTGACAGCCCAGCACTCTATTCTAGCAGGGCTTACCCGCACCGCTGTGGGGCCGAGTTCAGAGTTGCTCCGTTATGCTCTGCAGAAAGTAGATTTTAGTTCAGACCCTGTTACTGAACAGGAAGTGGCGATCATGCCATCGAAATCTGTTTTGGGAGAGGCAGATGTCTTATTCCTCAGGAAAATAGTATCTGGTACCCTGTCATCTGTGTGGGTGAGGAGGAAACAGCCAAGTGCCCCCCTAATAAGTTTTTGGAACTGCTTTTAGGTTCCAAACTGACTGGGCCCAACTCTGGAGAGATGGACTTCAGAGAAAGCCCAGGGTGAGGGGTGGCAAAGGCCAAAGAAACCAAGCTGTACATGATACAGAGTCCATTTTTGTAGGTGAAAATATGCTTTCACTGGCTTGTTTATAATTGGAAATTAGTGTAATTCAGAAATGCAATGTATAATACATGCAAAACTCAGCAGGAATAAACCACGGTATTTTTTCCCCCCAAGGATAATGACCCTACATAGTTTTATTTTTAAATGACTAGCAGGTACAAACTGAAGATGAGAGATCAAAGAATGAGAATTTTGCAAATTCCTGGCTGGTTCACAGATGGTGCTTCCTCTCCCAGACAAAACGAGAGGAGCCAGAAGGGGCCAGAAGTTTACAACCGTCCACCGGCAGGTAGATCTTTGTTAGCTCGACACGGTGGGTCTCCAAGTGTGGTGTGGGACCAGCAGCCCCAGCAGTCCCTGGAACTTGTTAGAAATGCAAATTATTAGGCCCCATCCCAGACCTGCCAAAGGGCTTGGGCCCAGCTGTGTTTTCGCAAGCTCTCCAGGTGGCTCTGCCGCTCTAGCTAAGGTTTGAAAACCACTGCTGCAGTGTCTTCTTGGAGTTTAGGCTACAGTAAATCATCCCTGCACAGAGACTGGCTTTGATGGTAACCCTGACATTAAACAGAATTTGATGACACTACAAAACTGAAAAAAATTTTCTGATACTTGTTGTAAAAAAAAAAACTTGGCCAGCCATCCTAAAAGGTGATATTTTTACACCCTGAAGTATATTAGTAACGTTTCTTACTTCTCTTGAAATCATGTTAAACAACTGTGTAGGGAATATTGTTCAGTATTAAAGAGAACAGGAGAGACCATGAGCTTTGTCCTGAGGTTTTTTTTGGTTTGTTGTTATTTTTAGTTCTTTTCATACCTAACCACAGCTCCCTACACCAGCACCGCGCACGAATAAACATACATATACCTAAGGTGGGAAAAGTGTGGCTGCTGGAAGAACTGAATTGTAAATTGTACTTTCCCTGGCCAAGCAAGTTAGTTACATGAACTCTTAAATTCCAAAATAATTGTATTATGTATTCAAAATATTAACCAGCACAGATTTTCAGGTGGACAAGGGATCTGAGAGAGCAAAGAGACTGTTTCTCCTGTACTGAAGTGCTGGTGTAAGTGATCAAATCTATTCCACTTCCCATTCTGATACAAACAGGGAAATCAATTCTCTTCCCAACTGCACATGCAATACTTCTTCCTCTGATTCAGCCACCAGGGCTAAGTCAGACCTCCCAAATTAAAAGGGCACAGTCCTCCAGACTGACAAGAAGTCTGCCCAAGACCTCAGACATCAGCCACAAGCTTGGGGGCCCCCATGATACCCGTACTTCTGACCTGCTGGCTACAAATTAGAGGGTTCCCTCTATCCCCTCTGGATACAAGCCATAAGCTTGGGTCCCCAGGTGCCCCTCACTTCTGACCTCCTGGCTCCAACTACTCCCTTGGGTTCACCAAAGTGGCTCAGAACTCAGGAAAGCACTATACTTAGGATTACACTTCTATTATAGCAGAAAGGACACAAATGAAGAGGTGTGTACGACAAGGTCTGGGAGGGTTCTCAATTCGGAGTTTCCATGGCCCAAAGGACGTGCTACCCTGTCCTGTGCACTGATGTCTTTCACCAGTCAGGAAGCCCATGGAGTCTTAGTGTCTAGAGCCTTTATTGGGGTCTTATTTCATAGGCATGATTGATTGAATCAAGCCCCCCTCCCCTGAGATCAGCTGATACCACTCAGAGGGTCTTTCTGGCCTGGCAGGCCCCCACCTGAGAATCATTCATTAGTATAAACCCTCAGGGGCTGAAGGCCTCATCAAAGACACTTTAATCACTGGGGAAATCCCAAGGTTTTAGAGGTTATTTCTCAGGAACCCAGGGCAAAGACCAAATTATTTGGGTAAATTCTCTACCCCACAGCAGGCAAACAAGAACATTGGCCGATTGAATCCGTGATTGAAAGAGCCTGCCCTAAATTCTGTGTGGGCTGAGGCTACATAAGCCCCTTAAGGATGGGAATCTTGCTCATTCCATCTGCCACCATCATCCGTGCTAATATGAATTGAGCACCTTCGGTGTGCCTGGTGGTGCAGTGGTTAAGTACTCGGTAGCTAACCGAAAGGTCAGTAGTTCAAACCCACTGGTCACTGCACAGGAGAAAGATGTGGCAGTCTGCTTCAATAAAGATTACAGCCTAGGAAACCCTTTGGGGCAGTTCTGCTGTGTCCTATAGGGTCGCTATGAGTTGGAATAAACTCGACGGCAATGGGTTTGGTTTGGTTTACGTGCCAGGGACCCTCTAAGTGCTTTATCTAAATTCACTCATCTACTTCTTAAAATGATTGAAGTTAGGAAGTTTCCTCATCTAGTATCTCAAATTTGCAGAAGAGGAAACTGAGGCACAGAGAAGTAACTTTCTCAAGGTCACATGGCTATGAAGTGGCAAAGCTACTACCGTGTTCATAGTGCCTTGCACAGAAACTGGCATATCAGTGCTTCCTAAATCCTCAGCTTGATTACCACCAAACAGTTCTAATAGCTAGAAGGGATAAAACTAAATACACATGCTTACCAGCATTGCTAGAAGAATGAGTGTTTATTTTGAGTTATGCTTAATATTTAAGGAAGAAGGGATTTAGGAGGAGGAAGTGGACCATTTTATTCCCAGATAAAAGCTGATCACCTCCCCGTACCTCAAGGGGACACGTGAGCTGTGTGACTCTGATTACAAGGCTACAGGGTTCTTGTTCCATTAGTTGCTCAGCGCCTTTGATTCTACTCGTGGCTGTGCTGGGCAGGACAAGAGTATTTTGTCATTCAAGAGGTCCCCATCTGTTGTAATTCTTACATAAAACTCTTGTTGAAAATGTTAAAAGGCACATGTGTAATGAGCACAGCTTGAACAAAGTAAACAATGCCACTAAGAAGTGCAGGAGAGAAAAGGATGTTTGTCCTAAAGAATATGACATTTATAATTTGGCAGCAACACCAACAAGAACCAAAATATGAGTGTATGGTCACATATGTAGGTGTATAGGCATATGGGTGTATGGGTAAGTACAGGTGTGTACATATGTGTGCACAGATAGAAGTATCTGTATGTACCAACATATACAAATATGTGTGTGCATGCATATATATTCATAGATGACAAAGTTGCAGATACTTCTCAGACATAAGCAAACACCTTGTGAGATGGGTTTTCTGCGTTTCAAGACTTAGGACCTTAGTCTCATAGGACAACTCAATCAATTGGCATAATATAGTTCACAAAGTTCATGTTCTGCATCCTAGTGATGTGAGTAGCATCTGAAGTCTTAAAAGCTTGTGAGCAGCCATCTAAGATGCAATTATTTGTCTCTACTCATCAGGAGCAAAAGAGAAAGAAGGACACCAAAGTGCCAGAGAGGAAACTCGTCTACAGGGCTAATAGCCTACACGAGCCA